GATACTTTCCTGCTCACTTTTGTGTTTATTGTCACCCCTCCCCTTCTGAGTGTGAGCTCCACAAAAGCTGTATCCTCAGCAACTGGAACTGTGACTAGTACATGTTTGGCACTCAATGAATATCTGATGGATGGATCGACAGACGAATGTTTTCTAGGGTGCTTTACATCCTTCTCTGAATCTGGCATGATTTCATACTTCTGATTACTTCTCAACTTTATTACAACCACTCTGAATTATAGTAATTTTTTTAGAAAACAAAAGCTACTTACCCCAACCTGTAGTCAGATGCAAACTTAAAAGTCCAACTTATTCACTGTGTCATGGAAGTCTTTCGTATCAACTTTAACTACCATTACCAAGCCCAGAGAGGCCCCTCAAGAAAACCCTTGTGGCAGCCACAGAGGCTGGTACTGTTTTTGTTAATGTGGTCCCCTCTTCTGATGGTGTATCAATTTAACTTTTGTGGAGCTCGGTACAGCATGTACCAAACCGATGATAAATAGGTAGTATGGCATAAAACTAAAAGCTTTGTTAAGATCAAGGTGGGATGACTTGCAGTTCATTCCCTTTATCAGTCTTTCTCTTCTTCCTCAGAGAAACAAAGATAATTCTGACAAATTATTCCGTACAAAGGCCTGGCTGCCTGTTTATCCAGTATCCTATTTCCTCTAAATCTGTGACAAACTGACTTTATGATGATGTGTTCATTAAAATCCAGGACCAATACCCTCCCTTTTAAATGAATATAATACACAAGAACTTTTTTAAATACCCTGAAATTGCCATTATTCTCCATAAATCTATAAATATGGTATTGAAATGCCTTGCAATGACTTCCACACATTCTAAAAATGTTGTTGTAATTATGCTTAAAATTCATGTTCAGAAATTCATGCTCACAAAATGTAGTAATGGGGACCCACATTATCTCATTATGCTCTGGCAAGAACACTAGTCCTTCTGCCCCATCCCTAACTGCATACATACCTTCACATTACAGAATGCCCCAGAGAACAGTCCTCAAAGGAAGGCTTTAACTAGAACTAACTATTCACCTTCTCATAACAAACCTCAAGAACTAAGTCTAAACTTACCAGGTCATCCATCATGTCTGGACTCAATCTTCCTTGGCTCTGCAAAATCACCCATGCTCTGCACAACCCTCCCATCCGAATCCTTCTACTGTGCCTTCTAGAACTCGTGGACTGTCATCACCAAAATCCCCTTTGCTGTCGTTCTCCCCTCCAGATGGTTCCCTTCACCTTTGTGCTCTAATTGAAACCTGGGTACTCCTCCCTGACTGCTCTCTATCCCCTGAAGTCCTCTCAAGTGGGGACGGCTTCACCGCCCACATGCCATAAATCCTGGGGGTGGGGTAGGGGTCCTCTTTGTTCTCATCACTAATTTCAGATCATTCTTCCTCTTCCCCTTAAAAAAATAACACGTTGTTTGCCTAAAGCACATGCAATCACATGATGTACCAACTACACACAGGTGCTGCATTTATCTACAGAACTTCTGCCTCTGTTCCTTTGCTACTGACTGCTGCTGTATCCTTCCCAGCAGCAATGGCATGGCCAGTCACCATAAGCACTCTCTTGCGTAACTCTCAATCTCAGTACCCTTCTCTTTATATCAGACTCATCAGGAAAAATCCTAACCCTGGTTAAATCCTAACCCTCCACCTCCACTGCATGCACCAGAGCTGGGGAAAAGCGCACAACTGTGCTGGCTGGTCTCCCTTCAAATTTATAACCTCAAGTAAGCTATCAGCACTAGCAGGTGACCCTAATACATTTCCCTACTTAATTCACTCGTCCTCCCTCTGAGATTTCTATTTTCCATTTCCTCTCCCTCCCCAATTTTTCACACCCCTTCTTCCGCCTCAACATCAGCTGATGACCTTGTTTTATGCATCTCTGAGAAACAGGAACAATTTTGCTCCTCTCCCTCCTCAAAGACTTTGCTCCTGCAGTCATCATCTTTCTTACATTATCAGTTTCTCCCTTTTTACTAGATCATTCTTGTCATCATTCAAACATGCTGTAATATCTTCCATATTTTTAAAGTGTCTCTTGACCCTAAATCCCTCTAAAACAACCACCTCATTTTTCAGTTCCACCTTTTGAGAGGTTTTCCCATTTCTGTTTCTCGTACTATCATTCTTCTACTCTTTCACGTTAGGAACCCCAGGATCATCTTTGTATTTTCATCCCTCCCTTGTCTGTTAGCAGATACTGGACGTTCTTCCACCAAAATGGCGTGTTTCCATCTCTTCCTTGCTTTTCCCCGGCCATCCCCTAGACCAGTCTCTTGTGACACCACATCTAAATAACGGAAACAGCTCTCCAACAAGCTGCACCGAGCTCTCCAACAGAAGCTCCACCTGCAAATTCCTTCCACGCCCCAAAACCCCAATCTGCCTAACACTGATTTCTCCATGCTCTGCTGCTGTCGGCTCATAAACCTACAGTGATTCCTGATAGCTCCTATCACCAGGCCTAACCTTCCTGAGCCACGTGGAAGACATTTCATCATCTGGTCCTGTCCTGCCTCCCCATCTTTCGTTCCTATTACCTATCAACATAAAAACTTGCTCTTTTACAGGAGTTCCCTGGTGGTCTTGTGGTTAGGATTTGGCGCTTTTATTTCCATGGCAAAAAAAAATAAACTTGCTCTTTTAGATTCATTTCCCAAGTGTCTTTCATGTAAGTCAAGCAACTCTCACTTGTACATTTTATTCTTTTGTCCGTATCATTCTTCTTCCTGGAATCCATCACCATCCAAATTCCAAATTGTTCAGACTCCTCCTCCTCTACAATACCTTATCATATAATGCCAGGTCACAATTTTTTGGCCCTAAATTCCTATAGCATTCCAAGTCTTCATTGCATTTATTAATGATTTAATCATATACAGTGATATACCATCACTAACTCTTTCATTTGCAATATATACTTGAATAGAAGTAGACCTTTTTCTTCAAAATTATCTCTCAGGAAAGGGAAATCCCCCAATATTGATTTCTTACAAGGCCTCAAATATCACAGAGTGCTTTATTTAAAAAAAAAACAAGTACGATTTGTGGAAGATACATAAACCTTAAATGACCTCAACTAATCCTACTTTTGGATTATGAAGAGGCCATCAGACAGAATCTGTTAAAAAAAAACAAGGGGAGGAGGGGCATAGAGAAATTTAATCAGCCACAGTAATTATTCCTGAGGGAATGATGTCAAAATTGGAAGTGCTGGATCTTGTAAACAGCCTTTTCAGAAACACCTGAAAAATCAATACAGTCAATCTCCACACTGTAAAGATCAAAAATACACCTCACTAATTAAAAATGTAACCGTCCTAGTTTTATGTGAAAAGACACCGTGTTTTGGAACAAAACTTCTTGTGATAACTTGGATTCAAAATCTGCTGCATCTCCAACAACTTAGATGGCAATAAAGAGGATGTGCTCAGAAAACAGTGTTAAATGACACGGAAATCAGCTCCAGCAAAGACAATAACAGTGACGGTGAGGCATTTGAAATATGACTAAAACAGTTTTGTGAAATATAAGAACAGCAAAAAGTAATACTCTAAATTGCTGTATTATTTTATATGACGTGATAAAATCTATATGAATAATTAATTTAATAGACATTTGACTGCTTCAACTCTACCCCTGGAGTTTATACACTGAAGTTGGCAAAATATACTATTTTTTTCAGCGGACAATGGGGGTGAAGACGGGGGAGCAAAGAGCCGCAAGACAATAAAAACGAGTTTGGTAACTGTGTTGTCTATGGCATAATGTGATTCAAAAAAGACTTTACGTGGTTAGAACTTGGCTTGTCAGTCATCCACTGTGTAGAGCTGAGTTTTTCAATTTTCAAATTCAAGGACTAGAATGTTATCTAAGACTCTCTGTGTTCCCAAAATTTTATTTCTGTTGTTTTCTATTGTACTCTCTTTTAAAGATTCAGCAGCATTGGTAAACACAAAGAGAAATGCTATTTTAGAGGCTACTGCACATTTCCCATTCTTTACTACCATTTAATATGTCTGAGGAACTTAATACAATTCAAAAACTTCAGCCCTTGCTCTACTGCCCTTATGAGCTTGATTTTGGACTTGGAAAATCCTGGGTATTCCAAACTATATTGCCAACTTCTCCATCTTTGAACAGCATCATTGTAGAGACAAAAGGTATATTTAAGAAAGTCTTGTTCAGTCTTCTTTTTTCCCTGAGCAGAACCTGGGGCTCAGCAAGAGTTCAATGCTGATCAGGGGCAGGGCTGAGACTCAAGCCCATGCCACATCCTCTGTTAATTCTGGTGGCAAGGCACAGCACTCAGCTCTGGGCATGCCACCCCTAATTACTTGATTACTTCATATTTTCAATTCCTAAATTTCTTTTCTAGGTTTTATGCATGAATGTATAAAAGTTATGGGCCACGTTATTTTGTTATTTTAATGTGATTTCTGACTTCATTCCAGAAGGGAAGCACCCAATGACCCATCCACACCTATATGATTTTGAGCCAATCTCAGCCTCCGATCGCCACTGCACAAATCTCCCACCTCTTCTAAAGAGATGCACGTTCTTGCCAGATGAGCTGCATTTCTAATTAGCGCTCTCCTCATGGAGCACCATCCTATGGTAAATCACGCGGAATAGACGTGGTAACAACAGATGCTGACCTCAAGCATGCCACATGTGAAATCATCCACTATGCAGAGGTGACCTAGGCAGGCTGGCACAAACTATCCTGGCCATACTACCGCAGCATGACCATCCCACCGCTTTCAGGAAACACACACGTGCGTGGACACACAGGCACACATATGCCATCACGTCCGTACCTAGTCAACATTCTGCATCTTGTTTGAGATCATCAAAGCTACCAATCGCTCTAAGCTTGTCTTTGCCTTCTCCAGCTCAAATACCATCACTGCTCAGAGTTACACAATGCTAACACTTATGACTGAAAATGTGTACTTACCTTCAATCCTCTTTAAAGCTGAAAGGCACATATCCTTCCTTGGAAACTCAAAGGGATTGTTACAGGTTCGAATGGTGTCACACTCACATTTCCCATTGATTATATTGCAGCCAGAGACAAGGTTTTCATTGCATGGTTCAAAACCAAGCAGTTGGTCATCATCCCAGTTCTCATCTGTAAAACAATTAACAACCACATAATGTTTGCTTGTTAGCTTCATTCAAAGGCCTGTCTGAGGGCTTCCCTGGTGGCGCAGTGGTTGAGCGTCTGCCTGCCGATGCAGGGGACACGGGTTCGTGCCCCGGAGTGGCTAGGCCCGTGAGCCATGGCCGCTGAGTCTGCATGTCCAGAGCCTGTGCTCCGCAACGGGAGAGGCCCACGTACCGCCAAAAAAAAAAAAAAAAGGCCTGTCTGAAAGCAAAAATGTGCGAGGATGTCAAGATTAACATCCGATTTTGACACCTCAATTTACGAAACGCAGTTTGGCTGCAGTTCTACAAATGAATGAAACCCAACCTCCTAAAAAAAGAGAAGACTGAAATATAGCCATACACATCAACATTAACTAGCTATATATACAAACGTTTCTGATCAAAAACCACTACTCCTCTGATGTGTTATTACAGAAACAATTGAGATTCCTTTAAATTTCTTCATTTTAAACAAAGATTCCAGGATTTTCCCATGTTCAATAAAACTACATCTGTCAATCTACAAAATTATTCCAAAAAAACCCCAAATTTTTTACCCCATCTGGTAGAGACCAGCTTCAGGTTTAAAACAGCTCTGCAACTTCATATATCAAGGCAGTGCTAATAAATGTAAACAGACACCACCCAAGGAGTCAGGAATGGGATACAATGGAGGAGGTGCCCTCCAATGCACTTCAATACAAATGCTAATGTCCATTACTGCCCACAGCCAAAGCCAGAAACAACAACAAACAAAACTAAGGGCTACAGCCTAGTGAGAGGCTGAGGTCGTCAAAGTCTGCGGCTGAGACCATATCAGGGTCCTGGGTCATGAAATGGAGTTGACTGTAAGAAATAGATTTTAAAACCAACTTTCATGGGAACCAGTTCAGACAAATGAAACAAACATGACAGAACCACAGCAAGACTCAATCCTTAATAATATTCCTCATAGTTGAAATGCCTCTTGTAGGAAACCAGACTATTTCTCTGAGTCTCTGTGATGTTATGAGTTTTTCCCCCCTCTTAACATTATCTTTAATAGATACTTTATCACACCTTAACTGGGCACTGACTATTAAATAGTAAACATGTTTCTGATAACCATATCTGGAGAGAATCTTTTAAAAGTGCTTGAATTTAAGATACTTAAACTTGCTGCTCAAAGTAAGGCAGGTATAAAGACATCTTAAGAACGTCTTTTCACAAAAGACAGCGCAAACAAATGGCTATAATTTTTATAAGGCTAACTTTTCCTTCTGGTGACATCGATGACTTACTGCCTAAGTCAGGAAAAGACTGTTCTCCCTCACTGAAATAAATAATTTTCTTGTCAAGGGGTCTTTAGAAGGATATCATTTACAAAATAAAGAGCTTCAGGGTGATTATTTGAAAACGGAGAATAGAAAATCTCCTGTGTTTTGATTTCAGAAGATCAGGCTCTCTTATTTGATCAAAGCTTCATCTCTTAGTAAAACAATTTTAGAAGTTTAAACAAAAACACAAGGTATCTGTTTTAAGATTTATTTTCCTATTTAGCCTGTATTTGGTCTTTAGAAATGACAGGTATATAACATGCATACACACAAAGGGACATTCCTATCTTCAAGACAACAGTGAAATTACTAAATTACTTTGAAAGGAAAACCAGAATAGAATATACTGAAACAACTCAACACAGTAAAGTAGGTGATAATTTAGTCTTTGGTTATATAACACGTGACAAAATGGTTCACGTAAACAATTTCTTACCTCTATATTTAATTGTTGACATGTTATTAGTACCACCAGCCTAATATAGTTCAGCAAAATTTACCGTAAAGAAATTCTTTTGACCGTATATTCAAATTTGTAATTCAAAATTAGTTCAATCCTAGGAACCTAAAAATCAGTAAGAAACTCAAGTAACATTTGAACTACTGAAAAACTGTATTTCTCCTCTTTCCCGTCCCATATTCCAAGAAATCTTTATTACTATCTTTGTAAATATATGCAGTTAATGTATCACCAAATCAAATGGATTCTGATGCAGATTTTTTTTTCCACAATACACATCCCTTCCCTCCATCGTAACTGGAACTCCCTGAAGACATCACTTTCCTGAACCACCGCAGCATCCTCTAACCTGTCTCCTTGCACTACCCCATTTCCCACACTGTCAACCAGCATCATCTTCCTCAAAAGACAAGCCTGGGGCTTCCCTGGTGGCGCAGTGGTTGAGAGTCCGCCTGCCGATGCAGGGGACACAGGTTCGTGCCCTGGTCCGGGAAGATCCCACATGCCGCGGAGCGGCTGGACCCGTGAGCCATGGCCACTGGGCCTGCGCGTCCGGAGCCTGTGCTCCGCGACGGGAGAGGTCACAACAGTGAGAGGCCCGCGTATCACAAAAAAAAAAAAAAAAAGACAAGCCTGCTCATTGGTTCTCTCTTGCTAACAAGTCCAAACATCCTAATGCTCCAATAAACACACAGATTCTCACTACAAACCCTCAATAAATGCTCCCATGCCTTTGCTCACAGAATGTCATCGCCTGGAACACCTCCTTCTCTCCTTCCTCTTGATAACTCCTATTCATTTTTCAAGACCCAAGTCACATGTTACCTCTTTGAGAAGTCTTCTCCAACTCTGAGCTCTCTATCCTCCACGCTCCTACAAACACCTGTGCACACCTCTTACCCTTTCCAATAATGGTTTCACGCACATCTAACTTCCCCATTAGACAAAGAGTCCTCATGTGCAGGAGGAGCCAGGTGTTATCCAACTTTGAACCCCCTTAACCCCAGGACTTAGTACAAGTGTTCAGTAACTCTATCTAGTTTTCCATGTCACTGGTATGGTCAATGCTGTTGACTATGCTTTTTTGGGTTTTTTTTTTTTGCGGTACGCGGGCCTCTCACTGTTGTGGCCTCTCCCGTTGCGGAGCACAGGCTCAGCGGCCATGGCTTACGGGCCCAGCCACCCCGCAGCATGTGGGATCTTCCCAGACCGGGGCACGAACCCGTGTCCCCTGCATCAGCAGGCAGACTCTCAACCACTGCGCCACCAGGGAAGCCCTTTTTTTTTTTTTAAACAGAAAATGTCTTGTAAACAAATGCATAGATGTATAATAAGGAAAACATGTTTCATTATAATGAACATGTTTACATAATAAAAATCTTATTCAAAAACCTTATTAGTGAAGCATTAATGAGGCAGGCATTTTGAAGAAATGCTCAGACATACTTTGGTACCTTTCTCTCTAGGCATCAACTGTCCTTAGTCTCTTTCCCAGTTCAGCTCTAGACTTCAGCCTCTTATCAGCTGGCTGGCATCAACAGCCCCTCCAAGAGGTCCATCTTAGGGCCAATTTGTTTTCAGTGTCAGATGTTTTTCTCTGCCTCCCCACAGGAAGACCATATCCCCTGAGTGTGGAATCAGAATTAAAAGGCAACTTCCCTTAATGCCCTCTCCAGCTCCTTACTGTTCTCAGCAGAAGCCTCTTGGCAACAGCGACAGGCTGCACCTGACCGTGCACAGGTAAGCCTGACCACCCCTCAGGAAATGTCATGGCCACCCTGTCCAGTCAGGAGGCATCTGACTCTAAAGCCAAAAATGTCTTACATGCTCTTATTTTCTTTTTTGAGAGGAAACCCTTTCATTTCTATGCCCCCCATCCTAATCAATACTTTTTCTTCTTGGCAAATAGTTCCCTTAGCAACCACTGCTTTATAGGATCAAGTACAACATGTTTATGAGACAAATGCTTTTATGTTTTTCTATTACAGAACATTATACTTTACTGTAACAGCCATCCAACAGGGACTGAAAGCAGAAATTTAGTAAAGTCTGATTATACAGAAATCAAATCTGAGCCTAATAGTGCCACTGACAGCACTTGGCAAATTTGATGTTTTAAAATCTCTTTTCCTAAGTAAATCCACATATACAGCACAAGGATCAAGGTTCTGATTCTGATATAGTTTCTGATTTCTCCTTGGACTAGTCAGGACTTTAAGAACAAGGGGCGGGGGGATTAAAAACAGGAGTACTGCCCTTTAACTATTTATATCAAGTAGTTTTTTCCTAGTGCTCTCCATGCGACAAGATGTAGTCTCCAAGGCTGAAAGGTCAAGATAATTGAGATACCTCTGCAAATGTATTTTTAAGTTTGTAACTTCTGCAAGATACCAAATCCGAATGTGATTTTCTCTATATACAAAATGAAAGAAATGTGATAATTTCATGTATGAATTAGAATTCATGCATGTTCAAATATATGCAAATATGTGAGTACTCCAGCGAAGAGTCAGTTATAACTAACTGCTAACCTGACATCTCCACTTGGATATTTAGAAGAAACCAGGAAATGATATTTTACCTCGAGACAACCGTGGAACTTCAGTAGGCAGAATTATTTCATCCATTCTTCCCATTTCATTCCAGAGAATGTTCACAAGATGTATAATCAAGAGTTGAAATTTAATAAAATTAATAACTTGTACTGATTCAATAAAGGGCATTCTTAAAGGAAACTGATTTTTTTTTCCCAACATCTTTATTGGACTATAATTGCTCTACAACGGTGCATTAGCTTCTACTGTATAGCAAAGTGAATCAGCTATATGTATACACATATCCCCATATCCACTCCCTCTTGTGTCTCCCTCCCACCCTCCCTATCCCACCTCTCTACGTGGTCACAAAGCACCGAGCTGATCTCCCTGTGCTATGCGGCTGCTTCCCACCAGCCATCCATTCTACATGTGGTAGAGTACGTCCATGTCACACTCTCACCTCATCCCAGCCCACCCCTCCCCCTCCCCGTGTCAAGTCCACTCTCCACGTCTGTGTCTTTATTCCTATCCTGCACATAGGTTCTACAGAACCAATTTTTTCTTTTTAGACTCCATATATATGTGTTAGCATACGTATTCGTTTTTCTCTTTCTGACTTACTTCACTCTGTATGACAGACTCTAGGTCCATCCACCTCACTACAAATAAC